GCTCGGGCACACAGCGCGTAGGGGGCGTGCGGCGCATGCGCGGCGGGGTTGTTTTTCCACAAAGCTGCTCTTAAAGTGAGGTGGCAGTACACAGGGAGCGTCTTTGTGGCGAGCGGGCTTCTTGGCGCGCTGCCCATGACGGTTTGCTAGAGCGCACGCCCCTGTGCTGGAGAGAGCGCGTTTCATATGAGATCCGGGCTCGCTCGCTCTCTCTCTCTCTCGCTCTCTCTCTCGCTCTCTCTCTCGCTCTCTCTCTCGCTCTCTCTCTCGCTCTCTCTCTCGCTCTCTCGCTCTCTCGCTCTCGCTCTCTCTCTCTCGCTCTCTCTCTCTCTCTCTCGCTCTCTCTCTCTCGCTCTCGCTCTCTCGCTCTCGCTCTCTCGCTCTCGCTCTCTCGCTCTCGCTCTCTCGCTCTCGCTCTCTCGCTCTCGCTCTCTCGCTCTCGCTCTCTCGCTCTTTTTTTCTTCTTCTTTCTTTCTTTCTTTCTTTCTCCTCCTCTTCCCCCCCCCCTTCCTAACAGTATATTTTTGTATACTTTGTTATTAAAAAAATGGTGCTGGGGAAGGTGAAGAGTTTGACAATAAGCCTTGATTGTCTCAATGACAGCAATGTCCCTGTCTATTCTAGTGGGGACACAGTCTCAGGAAGGGTCAATTTAGAAGTTACTGGGGAAATTAGGGTAAAATCGCTTAAAATTCATGCAAGAGGACATGCAAAAGTACGTTGGACTGAATCTAGAAATGCTGGATCCAACACTGCCTATACACAGAATTACACTGAAGAAGTAGAATATTTTAACCATAAAGACATCCTCATTGGGCACGAAAGAGGTAAGTTTGTTTTTTTTTTCTTTCTCTCTTACTATTTCATTACGTGCAGACATTTTTTTTTTTCTGGAAAGGTCGCATCTTTGCATCATCTCGGTTTATGCCCCTTTAGTGTGTAACCTATAAAATCCATTCTTTCTAAAGATGAGGACACGCAGGCTGCCTTTTAGAGATTTCTCTTCCATTATATGGACGCTTGTTGTACGTTAAAACTGTGCTGAGATGCATCTGCAAAATGCTTGCAAACGGGACTTTCTCCAATTGCCTGCCCTTTAACGGAGCTTTTTCATGAGGATTTGCAGTTAATTAATACTATGTTTTCGAAATGCAGTATTCATTTTGTTATAGTCATATTAAAAAGATTTGGTTTGTGGGGGAAAACGAAAAATATCAAAAGGAGGTATGCAGTAAACGACTTTCCTGGTAGCAGCTTCTCGAATCGTGAAATATACTGAAACATAAAACTAGACATTTTTTTGACACATTACAGATACAGCTCTGCTTTTCAGACTGATCTGTGATGGTTTTTAAAGATGGATCATTTCTGGCAGAGCGAAGATTCCCTGTGGCTTATTTTGACATCTGCTATCACCACCTCACGTGTAATTCCCCCCGCTGCTCCCTTTGCTCCCAACTACCAGTAAATTAGCTTTAATTTCCCTTCCTGAGCCCCTGCGCGGGGGTTCCAGACCCAAAGCGCTGCCCGGCAAGCCGAGGGCTGCACTGGGAGCATAATTTCCAAGTTGTCGAGTTCTGGAACCTGCCTTCAATGAAACCCTTCTCCGGAGAAGCCCAAATGCCCCCTTTCCACCCCAAACCGAGGGGTAACGCGCTGCGGGGAGGGGACGCGGGCCCTCGCTTTGCCCATCTATTGTTCGCAGGGCTACATTGTCAAAAGTGTGGGGGACACCGGGGTTGTTTTTGCGAAGTTTCCACCCTTTGTTAGAAGCGGTTCAATCCTGTTTGGGACCGGTCCTGGAGAGAGGGAGGAGGTGCGCGCCCCGCTCGCCGCAGATTGGCTGCGCGCGTCAGGTGGTGGCGATGACTTAACATTATTTTCTTGTGCTAGGAATTAAAACTGGTTATGTAAGTTCGGTTGCCTTTTTGCCCGCTGATTGGCGGGCGGCGAGGCGCAGAGGGGCAGGTTGCCTTGCCCGCACTCCGGTGTGCGCGGTGGGAGCGGCTGGTGCCGGCCGGAACCGGCAGCTCGCGGAGGGGAGAAGGGGCCGCTCCCGGGGCCGCGCACTTGGCTCGGGAGCTGCTCGCGCCGGTTTAGGCCGGTCTGCTCCTGCTCCAGCCTAGCCCCTGATTGACAGCTCAGCATTTGCTTACCACAGCGCTGCTGCCCTGCTCAGTGGGACTGCTGAGCTAGCAGAAAAGGAGAGGAGGAAGGAAGGGAGAAAGGAAGGAAAACCTCGGTGCGAGAGCAAGATTATTATTATTTTAAAAAAAAGGCACAATGTTTTAAAACATATGTATATATTTATACACACAGTGTAATGTGCTTTCACTGTCCCTTTGAGATTTTTCTTGGCCACATGACATCCCACAATGCCTTCATGTAAATAGCGTGGTGGTTTTTAGTTTACTTGCAATAGCTTTTTTTGGTACACTTAGAGAGAAGAGGAAAAAAAAAAGGCATCAGCATTTTTGTAGGACAATAGGAACTGCCCATTTCTAACCGTGCCTGCCTTCCTCCATGATATTTCATGTTTTAAGTAATTCTTTTCGCATACTCCCTTTGCATTTATTATCTCAGTTCTTTTGTACACAAGGTATTCGATTATTTTCTCGTAAAGCAACTTTTTATTTTGATTGTCAGCACTTTTCCTGATGTTTCAGTAATTATATTGGAATAAGCCACAAATTTGTTGCAGCATTTACAGCAATAGAAAGAATCATGACTATATACCCCAAGTCAGCTTTCTTGTTGCTACCAGGAAACCTTTGGGTCTTAGCTACACCACTAGCAAGATCCAGCTGAACTTTGAGCTCTAAAAACATGAATTGGGCAGTTTTCCCACTGCCTATGCTCCTGAATTTGTCTGGTACTTTCTAGGTAGTGCCCATACACCTTCCCTGTCTGTCTCTGTCTTTCTCTCCCCCACCCCCAGTGAAGTTCTGGGTAAGCCAGAAGATAAAAAGCTGAATAACTAAATTTATCTTGCAGAACAAACTTCGTACCAAGTATTAAATTGTTTAATACCATTAAAGAAAGATCCATTTTTATTTCATTTTTGAACTAAATATGATTAAGAAAAACATTATTTCCATGACATCTTTCAGGCAGAGCTTATAATGACAGCAATTACAACTATGCCAGTATTCAGCAGCAAATAATAAAACAAGTTAATATCTGGCTTTTATGTAAGATGAATCTGGCTGTTTTACCTATCTTTAAAAGTTTTGTGGCTTCACATCCAGCAGTTAATACAAATTGCCTGGAGATACTTGTTTATGGCACACCATATTCTTAAGTATTGTAAAGAGTGTATCAATCCCCTTTACCCTGGGAAAGAAACCTATGTAATATATTATGCTGTGTAAAATGTTCACAGGTGGAATAGCATATTGGGTTTTTCCCTCCTAGATGATGACAATTCCGAAGAAGGCCTTCACATCATTCATTCAGGAAGGCATGAATATGCATTCAGCTTTGAGCTTCCACAGACGTAAGTACCCCCAAGCACTGCTCAGGCTGTGTGAGAGGACACTGAGACACATACCTGCCTAAGAAAAATCCTTGCTGTGGGTGGAGGGGAAACTTTTTCAATGGTAGTAGGAATTGTGCTCAGACATGCAACAGAGGACATAATTTCATTAAGCTGAAGAGGTTGCTTTTATGCTGAAAAATATAGATATATTTTTGTCCTCCCACAAAATGGGAGCTCTTTGCTGCACAGTTGGTGACTCTTTTTGACCAAAGTCTGACTCGTGCCTTTATTTTACTCCACTCCTGGAGAATGGAGAGGAATCGAAGTGTCATTCGAGTCCTGCCGAGTGGCTGAGATACCTTCTAACTAGCTCAAGATTTCACTGGAGCCACGCAGACCTGCAGAACTAGTGATAAGATCATGGCTTAATTGTTTGGCTGGGTCTGCGACAGATGTGGCAAGCTTAACAGCCTTTGAACAAAAAGGGAGATTGTTCCAGTTATTATAGGATGCATGTACTCAGGCTGGCCTTTCTGCACAAAAAGGGCTAAGATGGCACCACACGTGCACAACACAAGTCTGTTCACCTATCTGCACAACATGGACATCTTGAAGAGTTAGAGCAGTTACCAACATGTAAACTGGCCAAGACACAAGCCTTAAATACAAAGGGAGAGGGAGAGTGTGTGTGTATCTGGAAATGGATGGAGAAAAAGGAGGAAGAGCCTTTTACTGTAAAAGGCAATCTTGGAAGTCAATGAGGTTGAAAATCTTGGCAGAATGTTATACTCAAGTAGACTACTATCTCATATTAAAGCAAATGAACCATCTGTTTATTAGAGGTGCTGGCTCTAGCAGAACCTGCACATGAAGGTTTCACAGGTTTTACTTTTTTTCAAAGCAAATAGTTTGACAGTAGATGTCATTGGAACACCTAGAGCACTATATATGTAGTGATTCTTGGAAGTCACTAATGGTCAGAGGAAAATCTCATCTGCCAAAAGTTGTAAGAAAATGTTGATCTTCCCTTAATTTGGGACATTTGTATATGAAAATACAAACAGTATGCATGCAGTATTGAGTTTGAGATGACATAGATGGCCAGTAAAAGACCACAAGTATTGGTCAAAATATTACAAAAGGTCTTCTTAAGTGACTTGAAGGAATACTGTGAAACGAGCTTTTGATAATACTGAGAAAACAAAGGCTGGCAGTAAATGTCTGAAGGCCTGACAAACACTGTCTACTTAGGATTTTTTATGCTTACTATTTTTTAAATTAATTTAAAAAGAAACTATAACACAATGGTGGAAAAACACAAGGCATGGAGTTGTTTTATTGATTCTGCCCTAAAGGATACTGGAGCAAGATGAAACTTTGAAGGCTGATTAGAAGAGCCTATCATCTGGGCTACTTTTTCTTTTTAACCAAAAAGGTGTTTCCAATGTACAAATAGAAAAGTCAAACCTGTGCATAAAAGAATCATTTAGTAAATGATTAATAAGAATCATTTTAGTAAAACTCTAGCACAGCCAGTGTTAACTATAGAAGATAGGAAAGTTTTGCAAGTAGCTTGCATTTAATATATATGTTATCATTCAAAAACAGTGCAACGTAAAAATTTCTACTCTGATTTAAAGAAAAAACAAATTGCTGAAAGAAAAGGACTTTTGAGATGACTGGAGTATAAAGAATTTAATGTCCTCCATGTTATACTGATGCAGAAAAAGGTGATGCTAAAAGATTTGGAGCCCCTTTCCAATAATTTTCCAAGAAAATTACATGTCCCAACAAGGACTCCTTGTCTTCCAAAGTTGAGAGCAGAATAGTCTCATCTATTATTATTATTAATATTTGAATATGCCCTCATCAGAGTAGAGGGAAATTAGAAGATACTCAAAATAGCCTTTCTCTATTCAGAGCTCTAAATTGAGATGTTTAACTACCCTTCTTAAGGCAAAACAAATGACAAAAGTGCTTAATTAGAGCTAAAATAAACTAGACAGTGAGATACCAGCCAAGTAAACAATACACAATTATTTACAAAAAAACAACATCCCAAACAATAATTTACTGCTACTAAGGCTAATTTAGATTGGGTAGCCTTAAAATGGCGTGCAGCATCCTAGACTTGAAAGCGACCTCTTAAGCTTAAAGAGAATGAGTACTCTTCTGGCATTTTCTAGCACAATTCTGTCATCGATTCTTAAAACTTCTACAAAACTACTGTTGGATGAATTGGAGATTATTTTTTTTTTCCTCCCAGCTTTATTCTTGATTTTTGAGATATGGAAACTTTGCAAATAAGTTATGCTTAATTAAATATTCTGGTGCATTAAGACTACCACTTCAACATAGCACTTCCTAATCTGATCGCTTGTATCATTATTGGAAAGAGAGATAAAGACTTTGCTCAATTTTGACCTTTGTGTCCTGCACAGACCACTTGCTACCTCATTCGAAGGCAGACATGGCAGTGTGCGCTATTGGGTGAAAGCTGAATTGCATAGGCCTTGGCTTCTACCAGTAAAATTAAAGAAGGAATTTACAGTCTTTGAACATATAGATATCAACACTCCTTCATTACTGGTAAGAATTGACAGAATTACTCATTCTTTGTTTGTGGCATGCAAATAATGCATTACGATAACCAAAACAACATCAATATCTAATTTTCTCTAATATTTATTTGTTAGTTTAACTACAGCTGATATTTTAAGCATCCTTTCAGTTTAGCAACTCTTTAACTGCTGGTATTTTGAAAGTTAAATTATCCCATATAGAGTTGCTTAATTTTGAACAAAACATAAGATGTAAAAGTACTTGTTATTTTAAATTGATAATAAATTGTAAAGTCTTACTCAGGTGGAGAATTCCTATGAACTGTTCCCCTTTCCTTTTAAATAAGGAATAGTCTCTGGAAGGAACCTGCAAAGCATAAAAATATTTCAGTGCGAGACTGCTAACTTAAAAATGCAAAGTAAAAATGTACTGCAGTACATAGCTTTCTGTTGATGGGGAGAAATTATCTATATGAAAATTATCAATTATCACAATTCTGTATATTTTTTCTGAAATTTCATTATTAAAGTAAAATCACTTTTATTTCA